GGGAACAGCACACCAACAAGGGTGCTTAAGACAAGAGAATGAACTAAACAGCTCCTTCCCCATGTCCAGCAGTATTGCACGAAGCCAAGTAGCACAGTAGCTATGATGTTGGACTTGGGAGTCTGGAAGTCCTGAGTTAGAATTCTGGTTCATTCACTTAGCTGTGTAATGCCGTAACCTTAGAGGTAACTAGGTGGTGAAGCGGATAGAACACTGAACCTGGAGCCAAGAATATGTGAATTCAAATCTAGCCTCAGACGCTTCCTAGCTGTGTGGCCCTGGACAAGTCACTTAATCTGTGTCTGTCTCACCTGTAAAATGGGGATAGTAATAGCACCTGCCACATAAGGCTGTGAGGATTGGAGGAGCTAATTTAGGTAGTGTCCTGAAAATCTTACCCTGTTAGATAAATGCTAGACACCGTTAATACTATTGTATAGTCCTCTGTGTCAGTCTCAGGCTTTCCATTACTTATTATGGTTTCTCTCTCCGTACTCTGTTCTTTGCTGGTCTCTGTTGGCTTCCTTTTGCTCAAGGACCTTGTCTCCTGTATGTATATTTGAAGTGTAATTCTGCCAATGCCATTATATCACCCAGACACCCCCCTTGGGGGGAGAGGTGGGTGACAATGAAGCTAGGATGACTAGAGAGGTATGACAGGTAGAACTCCCCTTCCCCCACTCAGCCCTTTTTCTGAGGCTTTTTCTTGGCGTGGATGTGACAGTGGTTTCACTGAGGTTTTACCATCAGGGCCCAAACCCTGCCAGGTCCTGCTAACCCCAAAAGGCTTTGAATATCAGCCTCATGCTTTGTCAGTCAAACAGCTTTTATTAAGTGCCTATTATGTGCCAAGTACTGTGCTGGGTGGTAGAGATACCAAGACAGAAATGAGAACAGTTCTTGTATTCAAAGAGCTGTCTTGGAGGTGTGTGTGTGTGTGTGTATGTACTGCAGTTAGATGCAAGGTACTTTTTGAGGGGAAGGCACTATCAGCGTCAGGTGTCAGGAAAAACCTCATGTGATGCTGGAGCTAAATCTTGAAGAAAACTAGGAATTCTGAGACAGGGAAGAGAGATGGGAGTGCATTGTAGGCATGGAAGACAGGCAGCTGAAAGGTATGTCAAGAAAAGTCAAGTCAATAAGCATTTCTTAAGCACCTGCTATGTGCTATGCTAAGTGTAGGAAATACCATACAAATAGAAACAGCCCCGGCTTTCAAGGATTTTATATTCGAGTGAGGGAAGGTAACACATTAAAGGGTGCTTGGGTGGGATTGGGGGGAATAATGGGGAGGGGAATGATTAACATACCAACTGCCCAGGAGAATGGGAGAGATAATTTAGAAAGTCAGGAGTACAGTCTCAAGAGGAATGAAAATGTGTGTGTGTGTGGGGAGGGGTTGCCATGTATAAGGAACAGCAAGAATGTCATTTCAACCCTTGGTCACGGATTATATTCAGAGGACTACTAGTTGACTCCCTGTTATACCTGCCTGCTGCTGTCCTTGGCATTTGGGGAATGAATGCTGATAGTGAAGGATGAGAGGAGGGAAAGAATGAGCAATGAAAGCTGCAGAAGGAATAGCAGGAACTGTCAGGAGGAGTTATGATGATAGTAGAAAGAGAACTAGGGAAGTATCATGTCATGGAAGTGAGGAAGGGTGGCCACAGGGGTGGATACAGCATAGAGGTCAAGAGGGACAAGAATTGAGAAGAGGCTCTTGGATTTGGCGATTAGCAGGTCACTGACCTTCTGAGGAAACAGCTTCTAGAGAAGGGTAGTAGTAGAAGTCAGACGGCAAGAATTTAACCAGTAAGTAGGTGATGAGAGAAGAGGAGACAGTGAGTGCAGATTCTCTTCGGAAGTCTGGTGTTGAAAGGATATGGAGAAATACAGCAGACGAGTGCACCCTTGGGACTTAATGGAGAAATGATGGTGATAGATGTGGGGTTAATGAGTTTGAGGGAAGGGGAGGAGTGCAGAGCATCTTACTCTAATCTTTAGTTCAAGATGCACAGAATTCTTAGTGCATAAAAATAAGCAAATGTAAGACATTTTCCTAACAGAAAGTACTACGGAAATTGTGATTTTCTTCTCTAAATAGTCCTTTTGTTTTCTAGGTATAAACATGTCATTGAAATGCATTAAAATGGCAGCAGTAGCAGCATTACTGGATGTAGTCAGTGTTGCATCCAGTACTAGTTAGGTTAATATTATACATGTTGATTTTCATCAGAGAATTAAGCAGAAAAGGCTTTCTATTTTAGAGGACAAAGGGAACCTTGTTTTGACCCCATTACCTGAACACACTCTGATCTCATCCCTAGGATGATTTTTAAAATTAATTTCATTATATTTTAATACCATAAACCAGAAGTTCTTAACCTGGGAGTTTGTGAAGTTTTAGAAAAATATATTTTGATAACTTTTTTTTCATCAAAATACCAGGTATTTTTAAATGATTTTTTTTCAATTATAGAGCTTTTTTTTTTTTTTTTTTTCCTTTTCAACTCCATCCTATACTCTGGGCTGGGGGGGAACCTCTTATAATAAATAGGCATAGTCAAGCAAGCAAATTCCCATATGGGCTATGTGCAAAAATGTGTCTCATTCTGCCCATTTAGTTAGGAGACAGCTAGCATTCTTCTGCACAACTCCTCTGGAATCACAGTTGATTATTTACATTGATCAGAATTCTTCTGCCTTTCAAAATTGTTTGTTTTTTTATAATGTTGAATATTTGCAATTCAGTTAGATAACTACTTCAATATAATTGGTTTCCTTTATAACATCATGTATTTTATGCATTTAAAAACATTATTCTAGGGACTGCACAGGTTTCACCAGACTGCCAAAGGGGTCCATGACTCACACAAATGTTAAGAACTCATGCTTTAAAGCTAATTCACTACTATGAGAAAACTTTGAGAGAGACCTTGTGGTTTCAGACATAGTTCATTTTCAAGTATTGATTAAAGTAGGTGTTTGGGAAACAGAGTAAAAAATAAATTAACTTTTATAGTTCATGCTCTTGGAGTTTACATATGACATTTGGAATAATATATGGGAAACCTTGAATGGAGAGGTTCCATCTGCCATTAGACTCTGTCTAAAAACCTTTCCTAGCAAATTGTCTTGCTCCTCAGGACTTTTGTCTAAGTGGTGCTGGTACAACTGGATCCTGTATGCATTCCTCTGAGTTGGAGCCTTTGGGGGTTCAAAGTTGGTGCATTTGTATCTTATAATCAGAATGATTTGTTACCTTGAGGTCAGCCTGTGAGGTAGTTCTAAAGTCCTTACTGAATGAAGTATGATTTCATGCTTTAGGTTTTAAGAGCCTTATGTTCACTCAAGTAAAACAGATAGACTTATCTCTGTGTTCCCAGACTTTTGGCACATGGCTTATTTTTGGGACTTTTCTTGTGCATAGTTGACTCTTGGGGGGATCACATTTAAATAAATAAACTTCTCTTTTAGGGCTACATACTACCCATGTACACTATTGCCAGGGTAGATTGATTTCCTGCCTAATGGCAGCTCTTATAGTTCTATGGCAGATTTCAGGATCAGGCATAATAGAAGCTAAAATAATTTTATGGTTGGCTAGTCTTTATGCTTCAGCACATGCATCAGAGTGCCCTAGGGGTGCAGGAAGAATTCCGGAGTTCACTCATACACAATGAATATCATTGACCAAATGGATAAATAAGTCATTGTAGATTTTTACCTTCCTTTTATATAGATCAGGTATAGTTCTTACTCAAAATAGGTTCTAAACCATATAGATTTGTGATCTGTGTAGGACAGAGAACCCCTCCTGCCACCCCACACACACCCCACCATTTCCACAGCAAGATTCTTTTGATCGGCTAACCATTTAACAAAGTTACTTCTGGGGTGTGCACTCAACTAGATGAAAAATAAATATTTTTCCTGGTTGATGTTATTCTATGACCAACAACATGAGTAATCCCATTTAAAATGAGAATGCACATGAGGTCCTAAGTATGGAGGAAATTAGAAAAGTCAATTTAAAATTCAGGATACAAGGAAAACATGAAGGACCTGCCTGAGTTACAACATTGATTGATCTTGTGTGTGTAGGAGATGGTGAAATTCTTTGTCATCCTTCAGTCTCGAAGTCTTTGAATACCCAGTTGTTTCCTATAGAGAAAAAAAAAGTAACTATGGTCAGAGAGTGATTATGGAGATCCTATTGTGGCTGAGGGAGAATGCTTTTAGTTCCTTATTATGGCACAGCTGCATCCTCCTGGGGAGAAGTCTTGTGAAATCTGCATTGCTTCCAGCTTTAAATCGCCATTGTTAGAACCTTCAAGCCAACACATGACCTGCTCAATTTAGACAATTGACCCAAGTTGAAGGTTTTGCCTGTAGGAATTTAGACGCGTATTTATTTTGACAGTTGATTCTTATGTTGTCCGGAAATGGATGAAGTAAGTAAACGAAACGCAGACTTTCATTGGAGCTGAGAGCATGGAGTTACTGCTTTTCTCCTGGTTTTTTGAAACATTTCTTCTCTTCAGGCGAGTGTCCTGAAATGCCTAAGCATATCCTAATGCTTGTTACTGCACCAGGACAACCGAATTTTTCCTTGCATGCTTGGATTTGGCTTCCAAAGTAAGGAGTGCTTTAAGAAAACCAATCGCTTTGTAGCGTGGCTCCAGGAAAAAAAAAAAACAAAAAACCAACAAACTTTCACCTGAGTCATCATAACTTTACTCTGTCCAGTAGTTGGTAACTGCTATCAAATTTTAACTTGGTATGCACTCATTCTTGCTGCCCACCAACTTTCTTTTGCAATTTTGGATTACATCATAAATGAATAATCTCCCTAGTTATCAGGGAAAGTTCCAGCTCTGCCCTCCAAAGTGCCTAACTGTCCTGTAATAGGAACTTTTTCAAGGATTGGGAGGACTTGTTGGATAAATTAAGCATTGCTAGCCAAGCAACTCAGCAATTGTATTTTGTTTTTTTCCTAGTGTGCAAGTATTCCTGCCACAAGAAATGTGAAACAAAGGTAAGTACTGCGTTTTTCTGTTTCAGTGGTATATTATGGTAGTAAGTTAGATTTTGTTGAATGAAATGTATAGAACTAAACTTATTTTAAAAGAATGCTTCTTTGGAAAGTAACTAGTATCAGGATATAATAGATATGTTTATATATATATATATATGTATGTGTACACATGTATTTTTAACTTATATTTTACTTAAGCATTTGTTTTCTCTCCCTCTCATCTTCCCCACTCCAAAAACTTTTTTTGGAAAAAAAAAGGTAAATCAATACCCTTGTAACAAAATATACATACTCCAGCAAAACCTAATTCCATTATTTTGGCCCTATCCAAAAATATGTATCTCCTTCTATGTCTTGAGTCCATCACCTCTCACTCAGGAGGTAGGTATCATCTTTCATTATCAGTCTTCTGGAATCATGATCAGTTATCACATTGATCAGTGTTTTTAACTCTTTTGAAGGTGTTTGTCTTTACATTGCTGTGTTTATTGTATAATTTGTTTTCTTGGTTTTCACTTTACTCTGTATCATATTATATAGCTTATTTGTTTATGTCAGTGAGTATCATCTGTTTTATTTACTTAAAATAAAGTACAGAGCTATACAACTTCCATAATATTTTAAATTCTGACTTGAGACAAGGTCTTTTGGCTAGTGGTGGTGGTGATGGTATCAGTAGAAATATAGTTAATTACATTTATATATCACCTACAAGATTTATACCTTGTAGGACTATGCTCTATAGAATGTCCTGAACTGATTAGGTCTGTAATCCTAGAATTTTCTTCTATGATTTGAATGCTGCTTGACTTTCCATAACATTTCTTTCATCTAGTGTTGGCCTCTATTGTCAGTTTACAACTCTTTCTTAGTACTTGGAAAATGCTAGTGATTTCTCATATGCATTTGAAACACATTTTCTGTTAAAGTAAAGGATGAGAAAACTTAGATCAGTGTCTTTATTGGGGGGATGTAAATGATTTTCATTAAACAAAGAAGAATGAAGTTCTGGCATTTGAATCACTTGCTGAATTAAGCCATTATGACAAAATAATTTTTTCCTGATTCATTTATTTAATAAGCATTTATGAACTGCATGTGATGTGCCAGGCACTGGGGATACAAAGATAAAACATAAGTAGTACCTGCCCTAAGATAGCTTATTTTCTGTTGGGGTGGGGATCCATGATGATGGACAACAACATGTACATAGAACATATACAGAGTAAGTACCAAGTGTCTGCTGGGGAGAGGAGGGTGGTGCCAACGTATAGCATAAGTATTTCAGTGCCTTTTGTCAGAGGTGACATACAACCTGAGCCCTAAAGGCTGTTAGGGATTCTTCAAGACAGAGGTGAGGATGAAGTATATTCCAAGCATGGAGGACTCGTACCGTAAAGACGTAGAGACCAGGGGTAGAATGGTATAAATAGGAAATAGCAAGTAGTGTAATTGGGCTGGAATGTAGAGTTCACGAAGGAGAGTAAGGTTCAGTGAGTTTAGATCCTGATAATGAAAGGATAGCCAGCCAGAGGCATTTATATTTTATCCTAGTGGCAACAGGGAGCCACTACAGTGTTTTGGGTAAGAGAGTGGCATAGTCAGACCAGTGCTTTACAAAGGTCAGTTGTTGGCCACATGGCGAATGGGTTGTATCTGGGAGAAATTTGAGTCTTTGAGACCAATTAGTTGACTGCTCTAGCAATCAAGGCAAGAGGTGATGAGGGCCTGAACTATGATGGTGGCCATGTGAATAGGAGAGGTGGATGCAAGAGATATTGGGGAAGAAGACGTGGCAACTGATTAGCTGTGAGGGATCAGGAGAAGGGAGGAGATGAGGATGACTTTCAGGCGGTCAACCAGGGTGACTGGAGGGATGGTGGGGACCTCAGCAGAAATAAGGAAGTTAGGAAGAGAGGAACTCTCACTCTCTTTTTCTCTTCTCTCTCTGTCTCCGTCTCTGTCAGTCTTTCTCTGTGTGTGTGTGTGTGTGTGTGTGTGTGTGTGTGTGTGAGTGTGAGAAGATAATTACTTTCGTTTTGGACAGGTTGAGTTTGAGTTCTCTACAAGGCATGTAATCAGAGATATCCAATAGACAGTGGTGTAGGGGTTAGATTTCAGGAGACAGACAAGGCCTGGGAGTGCTTTGCATTGAGATGATAGTTGAACACACACTGCTAATGAGATTATTAAGAGATACTGAAGAAAAGAGGGCCCGAGACAGACAGAGCCTTGAGGACTGAGTGACAAGACAGGAAGGAGGAGAAGCAGGAGAGAACAATTTCACAGAAATCCAGGGAGGGAAGATGTGATCTTGGAGGAGGGGATGGTCACTAATACCAAATGCTATAGAGAGATCAGGAAGGATCGGGACTGCTGGATTTGGCAATTAAGAGGTCATTGGTAATCTTGGAAAAAGCAGTTTCACTTGAGTTATGAGGTTGTAAGCCAGTTTGCCAGGAGTTGAGATGTGATCATGATGAATAGTGATATCTTTTCTGAGTTTTAATGTGAAAGGAAGGTTAGTGGTCTTAGGAAGAGAGAAGACTTTAGCTTGAAGAGATGAAAGATCAAATGAAGGTGTTGCTTTTTTTTTTTAATAGATTGGGGGACATATGGGCATGTTTGTAAGCAATAAAGAAAGAGCTGGTGGATCAGGAGAGATTAAAAGCTAGGTGGAAAGAGAAAATGATAAATGGAGCAAGGATGAACCTCTTTAGATACTGAGAGGTAAATGATAAAAGAATTGTGTGGGAGGTTGATAAATCATTCTTATTAAGGCTAAAAACTCTCATTTGAGGAACTTTTTTTTATTCACTTGGTACTTTTTTAGATTATATAGTATTACATTAAAACTCTGGTTTTTATGATTAAAAAGGCAACTGGAATCCAATATATGGAATTAAGACACAGGAAAGCCATTTGGTGATAGTAAATGCCAAAGCCGTGAGACTTTGCCAGTTTTCTTCTAGCCTACCACAAATGCCCAGGGGTTCTTGGATTGCAAAATTCAGCTATGTAAACCTTGAAAGAAATTCTTTAATCTTGAGTTTCAAGTTAACTAAGGAGATCATGGACACCTAGGGCACCTAATGGGCCCAACATTCCCAGAGATGGTCTTCAGTATTTTTTTTTGTTTTGTTTGTTTGGTTTTGAGTTACCACCTTTTTATAGATAAGTACTTGAGGGACACCAAGGTTAATGGAAAGGTAATTCGCAGCAATAATAATAACTGACAAGTTATATAGTGCTTAAAGTTTCAAAGCATACCAACTTTTTTGGACCAGACCTGTGATTTCATTGATAATTGGGAATTGGTAGTGAAGAAAGTCACTGAACCAATGCAGTTTATGGCCTGCTTTGTAGCAGTTTTTATTCAGAAAGGAAAAAAAAGTCCAAAACCTTTTACCTATAAATCACTGAGGAAAAAAAAAATCCTGTTTATTTTATTTAATGAACAGCTTCCTTTATCTGGAGAGAATTATTCTGAGAATAATAAGGTAACTGGCTTAGTATAGAATACAGTGAAATGGCTGTTGAATATCTCAGTCATATATTTCTATCAGATGCTCCTAAGACAAGCAGTAGAAACAGCTTCTATTCCTGCACTGGAATTCATCCTCTCTTAGTCCTTAAATGGAACATATAGGGATTTATATTTTATTTTTAGTTGATAATAATATTAGTATTAGCAAAAAAAATGAAGATAAAGGGGCAGCAAGCATGGTGTAGTAGTTAGAGTTAACCATGGAATCCAGAAAAATGGGTTTACTTCTTATCTCTGCTACATACTGGCCTTATGACCCTGGTCAAGTCACTTAACCTCTAAGTGCCTCAGGCGACTTTCTGAGAATTTTAGGTGTAAAGAAATTGCTTATCTACTTTGGTAGAAGACCAGACATTCCTCACCAGGAGCCCTTTACATTGATGAAATCACCTGAGGTTTGAAAAAATAATAACAATTGACTTTTTTTTTTAATAGAGCAGTGGTTTGGTATAGTGGAAAGAATACTAGCTCTGATGTCAGGGGGCCTGAGTTCCAGTGCTGATTCTGATGCTTACTATCTATCTCTTCAACCTTGGGCAGGTTTCATGACCTATCTTAGCCTCAGCTTTTTGGGTTTGCACAAGATAGATGGCTTTTGGGGTCCTTATCAGCTATAAATCATTAATCCTATGAACTGAATATAAAATGAATTACATTAACTGTCAAATTTGAACCTCCAGTAGGCCGTATGAGAAAAGGTACCATGGTGGGGAGGGTTAGTTCTATAGTCTCCACTCAACTGGATGTGTAAATGAGGGAGCAGAGAGCCCTGAGATCTACCTGCTATTCAGTGTTGCAAGCTGGATTCAAATCAAGGTCTATGATTGTCCAGTTTGGTCCTTCTTTCTGTGCTATCTCGTAATCTTCAGAAAAATGAATCCCTCATTCTGGGCTTGCTGCATAGATAAAGCTAAGGGGTTGTTATCCTAGATTTTGTTGAAGTGAAGCCTGCGTGAGAGGTGGCAGAATCTGTATTGCTGGCTTTTAGTCTGGGAGGGAGATTGAAATATATAATTCTTATGCTAGGAGAGGGAGGACGAGCGTATTCAGGCAGAAAACCTTTGGTCTTATCTCTTCGTGCTGAGATGATTCCCCGCTCTGCATGGTTATCGCTGCTAAGACTGCAAAGCAGCAGTTCTTTCATTCTCTCCCTTTGGAGATCTCTCTGTTGTTCCTGTACCTGGGCCCTGGGGGGACCCAGACAAGATTGCTGTTACTCAGAACGCAGGATCTAGAACACAGAAGTCATAAATAAACCCTGATAGATTTATCATTTATTCATTTATCTATTCACCTATTGTTTCCACGTGTCTTTATTGATCTCCTAATGTACCAGGAAGGCACCATTCTAGATTCATTACTGGTTGATATATTCCAGTGTCCTCGAGAGGAAAGTCAGCATTTTAATCTCAGGTTTCTAGTCAGTCATAGGAAATTAAATAACATCCTGCAT